AAGTGGCGGCCATCTTTCCTTTTATACACCCAGACCCGCGGTTTAATACAGCAGACATTATGAAGTATATACCATGAAACTTCTTTTTAAAAAGTTAACTGGCTAAAAGTACTTTTCACCTAGCGATGTGGTCAGAATTGTTGTCATGTCTCTTCATGTGTTTTGTTTGCCAATTACAGTAAGAATTAGTGGGCTAAGGATGATGATTGTATGTACAAGTGCACTAGTGCAGTTGTTTATTGTTTCCCTCCGGACCCCTCGACTAATGTAGTGGCGTTATAATGCCTCTTGACTAGTGTAGTGGCGTTATCGTTCCTCTCAACTAGCGGAATCGCATTATCGTTCCCCCTCAGCCAGTGAAATCGCATCATCGTCCCCCCTCAGCTAGTGGAACGGCATTATCGTTACCCCTCGCGGTGTTTTCTCGTAAATCAATAAAAAGAATTCCAAATCAGAAAATGATATTTATTTCATGTAGTCATATTCGGAATAAGATTTGAATTGTATTATCGGTTGTTTGTGTTATCTTATTTTCCTAGAATCGAGCATATGTATGTTATTACAATAGATGCAGGTCATATTTACATATTTGTGTTTGTCGAGTCAGTCCATACGAGATTTAAATGTTTCATAAACAAAAAACACGTACATCATGTTATACGCAATGGTCGTTTGTGTTGAAAAATAAAACACATAATTCAAAGTTATCAATCTGAATTGAAACTTTAGTTCACGTACCCACTCCTACTTATTTTTATTTGCAAAATTGAATTTAATTGAGTTGATTCTTCACCTTAAAGTATTAGGATTCGATTGACGATTCAATGAAATATAGAATAAATTGTAATTAATCTATTAATTTTTGCAATTTGTAGTAGAATGTAATAAAATATTATTGCAGATGTATTCTAGAAATTATTGAAATTTAACAAGTAAACTACTTAATCTAACTGTTAATATCAATAATAATAAGATGGTATAACTATTACACACATTGAGAATTTAGATATTAAGAATTCTGTGACGTAAGTAGCTGAAATGAAGGCCTTCATATCACCGAAATTGTTTGGTTTTGTGGTCGCACGTTTTTTAGTGACGAACAACTTACACAACCAATAATTGTCAATTTCACCGAATGAGTTTTCACCCATTTACGTCATTTTGATGTCATACAAGCGGTATCTCGCTAGATGATGCGACTTTTAGGAAAGAGGTATTGTGGAACATATACACTTAACAAATTTATTATTAGTATATATCTAGATTGGTTAAAACGTTAAAATATGGGTGATTCCCATCGTCCGTCACTGGCGATAAATGCGTACAGTTAAAGTTGAAACATAACTAATCAAAGAACGAAAACCACCCAATGGGTGCAATTCACGCGTTTTTGCCAGATCACTTTCATTAAGTCTCGTGACGGTTAGTACTATCCTAAGAGATCGTTACGACAAACCAGAATGACGTTATGAATAATGTTATTGTATTGAAAGACGCACGGCTACTGGCTGACGTGGTGGACTCCATGCATGCATCGTAGTCGCTTACACGAATATTGGTAATGGCACACATTTGCATTTGTTTGCATGTCTCATCACAAGGTGTGACATCATAGCTCGCTGAACAATAGAGGTTGTATTTCTCGAAGTTTTCGCTATTTTCCGGCTTGAAGGACTCGGCTAGCTCGTGTAGAGACTCAGTGGTGACGTCATCAATCGAGTACGCCTCAGTTGCCGTGTATTCAAGTACCCATTCTGGTGAATTGTTCTGGTTTGCTTCTGACAAGTTCATTATATACTGCATGATGTCGAGTAACTTCCCCGTTGAACGCTGATACTTGAAAAGTCTCACGGCTGGGTTGTTCGCCCCAAATTCAGCATTGTACACATACTTATTCCGCCACGGAACCACTGCCGGGGCCAACAACATAGAACTGATCGGCTCACCTGGGAGAGCAAAGATGATTACGTTGTTATAGATAGTCATATACTCAATAGAGTTTAGGTTTAGATCAAAGGAACACATTTTAGTCGTTGCATTGACCCTATATTAAAAAGACCCCATAGACGACTATGGATGTCGTGCCACAAGTTCCCGGTGCGAATCTTATTTTCTAGGGACTACAAGGTAGCTGTTTTATTCATTTATTTGCCAACTATACTTTTTGTCTCTAACTAACTCACTCACTCACTCCCTCACTCTCTCACTCACTTTCTCACTCACTCACTCTCTCATTCACTCTCTCACTCACTGTCGCTTACTTTCTCACTCAACCACTCGCTCACTCAACTCTCTCACTCACTCACTCACTCACTCACTCACTCAATCGCTCACTCACTCACTCACTCACTCACTCACTCACTCACTCACTCACCCACTCACCCACTCACTCACTCACTCACCCACTCACTCATTCACTCCCTCCCTCCCTCCCTCCCTCCTCAATCAATCAATTATGAAAAAGATAAATACCGTTGTCATTGTACAACACCTTGAAGTGGTCTGTGTGATGGTGGGCGTAGAACTGTCCTATAATGATGTCGGCGTATTGGCTGATTATATCTATATATCTCTCATTGAATTCTTCATAGAACCAAGGTGACGAGTGTGACCTCTCGGGATGCCCGGGTGGGATATGAGCAAGGATCCATACCTAATTATAAATTACAAAACCAACCTTCATTGGAGAGAATCTTGGTGATTACATCAACAACCGACCTTTAAAATATGTTAAAACTGACCGTCATATATCTGATTGATATGTGGTGTGGCACAAATCCTCCTAGTCTATGAGGATGTCGAGCTTTAAAAACATTAATGATGATTTTAAATGTACTAAACTATAATAAAACTGTGACTGGTAATCTCTCGCAATAGAAAAAGTAGTTTACCAGAATGCACATAATGCACATTTCAATTCAATTCTATATTGATAAGAAGGTACTATGAACAATTTATGTGGATTTTACACCGACGTTGAAAGCTAACTTTAGTATTGCCACGACAATAAATGCGTACAACATGAAACACCAATCTCCTGTCGGGAAATTATATGTTAAATTAATAATAAGTTTGGCCCACGATCACAAGCTTATGGTTATAGTGGCAATGTGAGCCCGACAACTTGGGTCACCAGTCAATATTCGAACAAATTCTTTGGCAGGTCTTACCAATTGGTTATTACGTTTTGCCTCTTCTAAGGTGTTTTCCATCCAGTCGAACTGTCCCGCAGGATCCGGCATTCCTGCGGTTACTTTATTCGAGGTATAGTAGAGATTGGTATTTGGTACTATTAAACGTACGTCATTTTCCATCACAGTCGTATAATAAGCGGCTGGAAAAACGCAAATACTCGAATTTAGTTCGTGGTGATGGTGAAAATACATTTATATCCACAGGTGAGTAATAGTAGTGTGAATTGAAAAACCTCTCAAGTGAATAAATATAGAAATGTATAACAATTCATAGCGAAATTCATCGACGGAACAATAATTTGGAATATGTGAAGTGTATTCATAAAAAAAATGGTTGAATTTGATAAAAAAAAATGTCTAATATGAAACAGTATTTTGATATTGCATGATGTCAGTAGTCATAGAAATCGTCACCACCTTTCCTAAGCGAAGCTACGGCATCGCTGTCGTGATTCAACCAACCACTCCACGCGTCAGCAATCGCATTGTATTGTCGAGAGGTCTGTACTGGAAGTTGATTACTAGGATCGTAATCGTGATTGGCTATAGCTGGGTACACTCGGGTATCAGGAAATATGTCTGTGATGACCTGGGTCAAGTTGGCTATAATCTCTATCATCAGTTCTTCGCCGACCATGGCATCGGGAACGTGAGGCGCATCATCCCTTCAGAATAAATACAACGTAAGAATAATTCCCTGTCATTATATAGCACGCTCGCTCAACGTCCGAACATAATGTTTAATAACGGAAAACGTTATTTATAAAGCCGCTTGAAATAATTTTCAAAATAGAAAAGATTACATTCGTAGATAATTTTAGTGTAAAACCTAAAGTAACAGTAGCTACTTCTTGCATACAATCCATTCAAATATCTACACGTGATCGTAGCCAAACGGCCGAGGCGCGAAAGTTATTTAAAATTAAAAAAAAATTCTGCAATGACGTGTAAATGAATAACGTAATTTTGACAGTCTATATAAACAAAAAGTTATAAACTAAGAACAAAAACAGTCACAGTAGTTGTCTTCAAGTATTAATGCCAACAATTTTATGCGGAAAAAGATAAATGAATTTGCCGAACCACTGGTCACTCAATGAATTATAACTATCATATGATAGCGAATTAATAACACTTGACTGAATATACAAAATGCGTTTGTTTCCCGTGGCCAATCCTGCAGCGTACACATTTTAGAGATAAACTGATCTTTCCGGCGGGGTGAGAGCAAAGTGCTTGCTGGGATACCATGTAAGAGAATGATATGACGCAGACACATAAATAGGCAAGTCATCCTAAGAAATAGAATTATTGATAAACAGTATAGATGCAGTTTCGTCGGTACCCGAAGTCGTGAAATATGGCTGAGCTTCACAATGTTAAAAAAAACATATATTTTGAACATTTCAAATCAAAATATATAAAAATATATAAAATGTATCTGAGTTTGAATCTCCCCCCACGAACTATAATAAAACGTTTCACAGCGAAGTGGCACATTACCCAGTTGATAGTAAAACGATAGTGCCGAAATTCTGACGGCAGAAATAATGGTTCAATGTTTTAATGCAAGCAACGTAGTATACTTTACCCTGTCCATACTATGAAATCAACGTCAGGCTTGTTGGCTTTCATTGCCTGTACCGCAGATACCACTAAACTCATAGGCGAATCGCACTCATAGTCGCCGTAGTACCCGAGATCCTTTGCGGTTGTCTCGTTCCAGTAGTGGCAATAGTACGTGGGATCACCCCGCATAGAGTATTGGTAATCGTAGTGAAAATCAGCTACGTGCCAGAAATAGCCTGAAAGAGAAAATAAAATAAAAATTATATTCTACTTTAGAAGAACATTTAGTTACCTATAGTTTATTTTATGGGTTACACTGAAAATTATGTTAGAAACAGTTTGTTTCTTTATTTAAAACTAATTAAAACGTCTTTATTCAAGATATAAAGATTTATTTTTATTTACAATCACTTTGTTATGAACTTTTGATCTGTTTTAAACTGTAAATTATATTTACGACCAGCCCAAACATATATGGGAACGGTGCCTAAGGGGGATGAACAATCGTACTTGCTGCTCCTTTTTTGGTCTCTAGATGCAATAACGCGTGACATCTGACATATATTGTCAACATATGATTCATGTATATGCGTACACAAACAATGAGGCACTGCTGGGTGGAAAGGAAATATCTTTACGTAATTGCATACGTATGACAGTTGATTTATATATTACAGACACCCATAATGCCTCTGACATATGAAAGTAATCATGTGCATGCTTGACCAGTCACGGTGAAAAGTGGATCACAGTCTTCTAAGTTATGTTGTAAGGTCTGGCCGCTGTTCTCGCAGAATTTGCAGATTTCAATGATCGATGGAAATTGCCATTGCGATAGAATGTGCACGTATGTATGACAGCTATTACAGCTAACTCAACATGAATATGCTAATAGAGTGCACATGGTTGAGCAGATACTTGTTGAACTGATTGTAAGAATATTAATTAATAATTATTAGATGGATTAGTTACCATGCCTTCCGTGGTGGGAGTTATTTCAATTTGTATTCAGAGTATCAGAGAACTTTGCCAACCAGTCTAGTCGCCACTTGATACCTCCTTTTGACTATATGATTTATTCGATTACTTAATTGAACCAACAGATACGGTGACTTATGACTGTGTGTTATAACTGTGTATTTTGTAATTGTGAAATCTAGCCTAGAGATTATGTCATACTGTGGTGATGTGATGACATTGTATTAAAAGCAGAAATATAGTAATCTTACAAATGATTATTTTTTTCTATATATGGCTTAATTATTTGCTGGGTTAGTTTAAATGCTGGGTTAGGTTGATCTAAATGCAATGTGATTGCATAATGCAATAGATGCGTGGAACCGATGTACATGACCACATACTGCAATGTCATCTGTTTTTTGCAGAAACAAAGCAAGTATTATGGCGTTTTAATTAGTTACATGTAACAAAGAAAGGTTAATCAAATATTCGGAGGCGCACCATCCACAGTGCACTGCAATCGGGAGTCCATACCCTGCATACACAGGGCACAGAAATCGAGAGAACATCGGTTCGAAGAACACTGTCAGAAATCGGGAAAATACATCGCCCACAAAGCACTGAGATCGGACGAAGTGTTTCATTGCGCTTCCATCATCCGATCTAAGCATCCATTGTTCAGATTGTCGCGTTATCAAAGGATGATACCCGTCGGGAATTTTAAATTGCATTTATCCACAAGCTATTGTATCTGCTTATTGTGTTGCCGATGGCTACTGGCATTGTATTATCGATACACATAAATAACCATGTAACGTATGGTGATTACATTAACCATAGTCAGCAAAGTCTTCTGTGGGAAAACTATTTCATCTGCATGTTCCTCATTATAATTTCACTCGACAAACAAACTCATTACCTTATTGGTCATGATTTCTTGACACAGCAGAGGTGTGTATTTTTGTGTTTAAACCATCATCAAATGAATATGAATCAGTTCAATAGTATGTCACAGCATGACCAGTTTCCTCCAATAATGTTGTATGTATTCAAAACGCGTATGAAACAATAGTTATATTATAAACAATAAATACAAGTAAGCGTGGAACTGATGGGATTCGGTGCATTGAGACCCTATGACTAGGAATGTGCTTGAAGTTGGTTCCTTGTGAGGTTATACCAGTGCTTCCCTGCTTCCCTGCACATTTTACAGGATAACAAACAACTTGTTACTTGAATAGAATATATATGATAGATATTGCAGCTAAGATTGGTTGAGCGATCAGAAGAATTTGCCAACTAAAATAGTCGCCATTTTACAACTTCTTTTGACTACATGTTTCATATTGATTACTTGATTGAACCAACAGATGCGGTGATTGTACTTATGGCTGTGTGTTATAATTGTGCATTTTGTAATTGTGAAATCCTGCCGTGAACTATGGCATACTGCTGTGATGCACACTATATTAAAGAAAGAAGCAATGAAATCTTGCAAATGATTACCAAGATATAGGAACAGTATGTTTCAGTATGTTTTCAGGCCAGTGACTAATAATATTAATGTGTTGAAAGTGGGTTGATGTGCTTGTACCGCTCCTCACATATAAAATCATTGTATTATTGTAAATCATCACATGCATTGCCGTTATACACATTGCTGGAGATATGAGACAGGATCAGTAATATTACTATTACTATATAGTAGTTTTACTGAATTCAAGACGACTACACTATTTAAGGCGTGTCCAACGTGCAATACATTGTACTAGTCTTACCTACGTCTTCCATCGCCACAGTCTGGGCTCTGATATGCGTCGACAAGTATACAAATAACAAGACGGCATATATACCAGACTGAGCTCCAACATACATATTTGTTTCTTCTTGAATTAAGTAACGGCAAATAGGGAGGAATCGACAGCCCGGGTTTTATGATTTCCGCTGCGCCGCTAACAGTGCGTTCGTTGTTGTCACGGCAGACCCAGCATACAGGCTGTGAACTGTCCAATGAAACTCTGCTCGACCTTTTATAACAATATTGTAACCTTTGAACTTTACATACATATGCAAATTGCAGCTGGTTTCTTGGGTCCATCACACCGCCTATCGCCTTGACAACATGCACGACACACACGAATTATCTGAGCAATGTAGTATGCTTCGTTGACACGATGCGTCAATAGAATTACTAGTACACCAGAACACAATGTGTTTCCGACCATGATTCTTGCAAAATATCAGTGGCAACGCATGAAAATATATGCACGAATGTAATATTATTTATAGTATTTTTTTAATTTTAAGAATAAATTGCCCATTTATATCAGTTTTAACTCACAACTGCATGTGTATGCTGAATAACTGTATCGCTAGTATCCAGGCTGTGTACTGTTTACATGCCTAGAAAATTTGCTAGCAGGAGTATAAACAGCATCGGATTGAGAATAATATACTAGTAATCTAGGTTAAATGCTATAAATATATATTTTTCATTAATCTTTGCTATTGATTTCGATTTACTTATTAACTATATTTAGCTATGTGTGCCATGATAAAATATGATTCAAATATTTGAAAATGAATTGTTTAGATATTTAATGTACATACAAATCAAAATATTTGATATAATCTGTCATGTTTGGATATTTATTATGTTGTACTCGTTGACAGTTCTGGTGATTTTCTGTAGCTTTCATTGGAACGTGTAAAATGTGGTGAAATTCAGCAATTGGTATAACAGTTCTAATTTATTATCAATGTATTTTGTAGTTCTTTCATTAATATTGTAGCATATTTTTGGATGACTATTGTAATTTTCAATTTTCTAAAACATTACGAGATATTTGAGCTTTAGGGTAATTTCATTCTTGAAATGATTACTCAGCTATTTTCTGCTCGATAACCATACAGTTATAAGACCAGCTCGGATATGTATTCGCTCACCAACTGAAACATCATAAAAACACCGTTGATTGGTTTCAGTTTTTTGTAATCACAGATATTTGTCAAAATATAAAACCATGTGAAAATATCATAAAACAAAACATTATGTTTTTACTGACACATTTTTAAATATAATTTAGAATAGTGAAATTCCATGAAAATGCTGTTTCTGTAACATTATTTATGAATAGGTAGCTACATATAAGTAATCTAATTTGCGAAAAAAAAATTCAAAGTATGCATATGCTGTATATATTTTATAGCTGCCGACAAATGTGTTTTTTTTGTGTGTAAAAACAGCATTTATTATTTTATGGTTTAGTAGTCGAACAGTGGGATTTGCAAACAAAGAGTGTTTTTGTAATATACTAGTATATGAACATATATAATTGGGTATAATAATGCGTGTAAAATAATAACTCAAGAACATGACCATGAGTTTCTAATAGTTGGTGGCATATACTTTTTAGTTGCACGACCTGTATGCAATATTCTCTCATGCACCAGTTTACCATTACGAGTAGAACAGAAGATGGCAACTTTTCCTGTCATTTGGTAGCGATGACAATTTTCCATTTGACCAGATCTGATTGGTTGACTACATTCATGTGTAAATATGTTACCTTGATAATCTTCTGACATATGAACTGCACCGAGTTATGAATATTCAAATTAGCAATAGTAACACTAATACGTTTACAGGTTGTACTAGTATATTAAATATTAACATCAATAAAGGTTTTAAGTAGTTTATTATTACACAACACTTCAATCACAATATACACTACGATGTACGTATGTCATATACATCAACTCTGTACACGTGAGTATTGTGACCAGACAAACAGTTACATTGATACATTGTTAGGCTACAGGTAATTTTATTAAACTGGTTTCTCAAGATCCTATCAAGTATAATCATAGGAACAATATAAAAGAGTGCCAATATAATTATATTAATCATGATAACGGAAACAACTTGTATGGAGTAATTGTCATTTTCCTTTGTGCTAGCAGTTCATTTATGCTGTACTTGTCACATATATTCTATCTGGAACAATCTCCTGTTTTTGATTGCGCACCATAATTTAAAACTCATCAAAATCGACTCAGTGATTGGTGGTCTCCCTTTCCGTAAGAATAAAATACTGTATAAGTACCCTAGATGTCATGTATAGTGACGATCAACTGTATTCAACGAAATACTATATACTACTTAACCCAAAAATGTAACAGTTGTTTCATTCAATTTGGAATGATATAATAAAACTAGAAATTCATGTTTTTAAATGATGGCAGAGAGACTAGTCTGCTATCACTGCTAACTTGTGATCATTGCTCTTTTCGTGTTTTGAAAAATCATCGAATTTGAGTTGGGTTTTCGATTTTTCAGTTGTGAAAATATTCGACCTCCTAGCTCAAACATGTATACAAATATTTTGACTGACGATAGATATCCTATTAGGTGCTGCTTGATTTTTTTATTTGTATATACTGATTTATCATACTATATGAATATTAAATCTAATGCTCTATTATATATGTCATTGAATAAAAATATAAATATAGCCAATTTGTGTACAGTAAATACCAGCAGCAATCATTGCATGTTTGACCCCTATTCTACCATCGTGTTATTTTCTAATCATGTTTCACGCTTGAATAATCACCATGATTTATGAATAATATGAATCTAACACTATTCAGCGATCACTTTAGGTTGTATTTCTAAACCATGGAAACCTGTGATTATATACCCTATATATAAAATATGTTTTCGAAATGCAGTCCCTCACCCCTTTGGCTATTTTCGACGATTTTTTGTCGCCGGAGCGATTCACGTTCCAAATTTTGGTTCTCCGGGCGTCTCTAATAAATACCCTATCTAATTGCTGGGCTGAATTAGCTAAATTATGAAAAATTCATAGAAGATTGGCGAAAATCGGTCGTTTTTAGCCTCAACGTTTTTTTGCTCGGAAACGCAAGGGCGATAAGACTCGATTTTCAAGAACGCAGGTCGCTCGGATCGGACGGTTTCTATTGTTTCGAGTCTGTTGTGTGTCTAGAAAAATAACAACTTTGTTTTTTTGGTGAATATAGAGGCGGAGAAGGCGTGGCCTATTCAGCATTTTGTCAACAACCAATCACAAGACTGGTTACGAACCACATCGAGGTCACGGCTCGGTTAGCCTTGTACGAGGCGCGGAATGTAAATTTATTATTTTGTGTATACTAGAAGAAAACGTACTAAGGGAATCACCAGTTAATCTGGCCTGGGGGGTGCCGGGCAATTCTAGGGGGGCTTTCCATTTTCTGTATATGAAAAGGGGGGCTAACAATTTTTCCAAGAGTGAAGGAGGGGGGGTTATAATTTTCTGGGTTTATTCACATATATTGTATAGACGACGGCTGCTGTGATGAACATACTGCAATGAGAAAGAGTTATTGTTTGTTTGTTTTATTGCACAACAATAACTTAATCAAATTAGTATAAAACATGAAACTTCATTTGTAAACAACAGT